TAAATCTTGTTTCGCTAATACAAATAAAGGGATCTTATTGGGGACCGCGCGGGTCAATATATTTTTTAATAACACTACTTTTTCAGCACGCGCATTAATAGATTCCGGTTCGGAATGTTCGTTTATAACCGAAAGGCTTAAGCGTAGGATTAACCTGCCGTCCAAAAGGATGCAGGCCCAGGTACCAGGCATCAATAATACCGTGTCGGCGCAGGTGAAAGAAGCGTGTGCAATTCAATTGCGATCACCCATTGACCCTTTAATTAATATAGATACCACAGTGTTGGTTTTACCACAGCTGACCGGTAATCTACCGACCTGTCAGATAGATGCTATGACGAAACAAGCATTTCCCGACCTCATTTTAGCGGATAAGAGATTTTTCATTAATGAACAAGTTGATCTTGTCCTAGGTGGCGACGTTTATGCCCAAATAATGTTGAGCGGCATTAGGAAGAACGTTTTAGGTACTCTTCTTGCTCAGGAAACAGTATTCGGATGGATACTAACCGGTCAGACGGAAGCAATTTCAATCACTAATAAACGTGTATCGTTTTTTAACGAGGTAACCTAGACAAACGTCTAGCTTCGTTTTGGGAGTTAGAAGACTTTTCAAAGCACAAAACCTACAATAAAGAGGAAGTTTACTGCGAGGACCTTTATAAACGCACAACTAAACGGAACCAGGATGGCAAATATACAGTATCGTTGCCATTCAAACAGGATTTTCCAAGGTGTATACGCTTAGGACCTTCACTCAAGATAGCTTGCTCACAATTTTTTCGTAATGAAATCCGTCTAGCAAAAGACCCTCCCCTACAAACTGAATACAGTAGGGTATTGTCCGAGTATGAAACGTTAGGACACATGACGCTAATTTCTGACCGTATTCCGGGTGATGAATGCGAAAATTACTTCCTGCCACATCATGCCGTTCGAAAGGAAGAGAGCACCACCACCAAAGTACGGGTGGTCTTCAACGCGTCATGTCCTACGGCTAATGGGGTGAGTCTTAATGATGTGATCCATCCTGGACCAGTCCTCCAGAATGACTTGACAATTCTAATATTACGGTGGAGATTTTTTCGATATGTTTTTAATAGCGACATCGAAAAGATGTATCGCCAAATATTACTAAATCCTGACGATACCAAGTATCAGCGAATAATTTTCCGAACAAGTCCAACCGAACCAATTAGGCTTTATGAGCTTAAAACTGTGACTTTCGGTGTCAACTGCGCACCCTACCTCGCGATTAGAACCCTGCTCCAATTAGCTGACGATGTACAAAACTCGCACCCTATTGCGTCGGACATCCTAAGAAAGTATATGTATGTTGACGATGTTTTAGCTGGCGGTCACACCATCGAAGCTGCCATCAAAGCGAAGGACGACATCACAGGAGTACTGCAGTCTGCTGGTTTTCCTTTAAGGAAATGGACTTCTAATTGCACTGAAATTTTACGTGGTACACCGAAATCCCATCTGCTTAAAGAAGACTTCTTAGACTTCGAAGACACCAGCACAGTCAAAGCTCTGGGAATCAGATGGAACGCCCATTCCGATAATTTTTACTTTACAGCCAAACCAATTGAAAACCAGACTAGCTATACAAAAAGGGCAATTCTATCGGCCATTGCCAAATTATTTGATCCCCTAGGGTGGCTTCCACCATTTGTAATTACCGCGAAAATTTTAATGCAAAATATTTGGTTAGAAGGAACAGGGTGGGATGCAACTGTATCGTCAACCACCTTGGACGCTGGAAAAACTTTAAGGAAAGCTACAGTTACATCGAAAAGATTCGTATCCCCCGTTGGGTACACTTTTCACCGACAACCAAAGTCGAAGTTCACGGGTTTTGCGACGCCTCAGAAAAGGCATATGCGGCCTGCATTTATCTTCGCGTCGAAATGGACGAAAAGGTCGCCATCAGTCTACTACTAGCTAAAACTAAAGTGGCACCAGTTAAAACGATTTCCTTACCACGATTAGAACTTTGTGGGGCGGTCTTGCTAGCCGAAATACTGGAGTCGATGACCAATAATCTTAACTTAGCCAACCGTACAACTAAGATGTGGACGGATTCGACCATTTTCCTGGCTTGGCTACGGAAACCACCGTGCTCATGGTCAACCTTTGTTGCCCATCGAGTAACAAAAATAATAGAAAAGGTCGGAAAAAAAATTGGTGTCATGTAGATTCAACATCAAATCCGTCAGACTTAGCCAGTAGAGGACTTCCGGCGCTAGAATTAGTAAACAACTCCCTGTGGTGGGAGGGCCCTTCTTGGCTGCAAGAAGATCACTCCAAATGGCCCACTGAAGAAAAGGACTATAATACAGTTATAGAAGAGAAAAGGGTGCAGGTACACGCAACAACAAGGTCAGATATCGACTTTGATATTATTGAAAGATTTTCTGATTTCTCGAGAGCTTTGAGAGTTGTATCTTATGTACTGAGATTCTCTCAAAGAACTCACCCAAAAACTAGAGCGTCTTTTCAGGCGAAATCTTGTTCACTTTCAGCTGATGAAATTAAAGCAACGACTCACCGCTTGATAATCATCTGCCAGAAGAAGCATTATTGGGAAGAATATTCAGCACTAAAATCCGAAACATCAATAGGTCAAAAGAGTGAAGTACTAACCCTTAACCCATTCATCGATAAGGACGGTATAATGAGGACAGGTGGTCGCCTAGGAGCATCTCGTGATCTCGCCTATAACGAGCGTCACCCAGTTATCCTACCATACAACAGCCACTTGTCCCGTCTGATAGTTCAGTTCGTTCACAAAGTCTCACTGCATGGTGAGAATCAGCTCATGTTGCGCCTGATTCGAACACAGTATTGGATACCTAGGGTCAAAAACATGATACGGTCCACCATTCATAATTGCAAGGTCTGCACAATTTATAGAAAACGCGTGCAAACACAGCTAATATGAATTCTTCCCAAGGAACGCACTACATTCTCACGAGCATTTACAAACTCGGGAGTCGACTTTGCAGGACCTTTCGACATAAAGAGTTACAGCGGACGAGGATGCCGGATGTCCAAAGGATATGTGTGCCTGTTTGTGTGCTTTGCGACTAAGGCGATCCATTTGGAAGCCACCTCAGACCTAAGTACTCAATCCTTCTTAGCAGCATTTGCTAGGTTCATAGCAAGAAGGGGCTGTCCAAGAAATGTCTACTCCGACAATGGCACTAACTTTGTCGGAGCCTCTAGAACTCTGAAATCAGAGTTTAAAGTCTTTATGGCCAATGCCCGCGGTGACACCTTAGCCAAATATGCCCATCAAATGGTTTCGTGGCACTTTATCCCCGCTTCAGCTCCCCACATGGGCGGACTGTGGGAAGCGGGAGTTAAAAGCTTCAAAAGCCACTTCACTAAAACTGCCTCCAACCATAAATACACATTTGAGGAATTTACAACCCTATTATGCAGAGTGGAATCATGTCTCAATTCTAGACCCCTGAGCCCCTCTTCAAATCAACCAGCAGACCTGGAGCCACTGACTCCAGGTCACTTCCTAGTCGGTGGACACATACTAGCTCCACCAGAAATAGACGCCGATGAAAATCGTGCATCGATCGTAAATCGATGGCAAAGATTAAAGGCTCTTCACCACATGTTTTGCAAAAGATGGAAATCTGAGTACCTATCAGAGCTCCAGAAACGCAACAAATGGAAATATCCACAAACTAATATGAGAGCTGGAGACCTTGTCATAATTAAAGAAGACAATCTACCACCAAATGAATGGAGGCTTGGGAGAGTGATCAACCTACACCAAGGTCCGGACAACAGAGTACGAGTGGTGGATATCAAAACCGACAGAGGCCAGATCACAAGACCTTTGGTAAAATTAGTCCTACTTCCGCCCTACAGTGAACAAGACGAGGAGTCAACTACCTCGTCTTAAACCAATCTTCTTTTTTTTTCAGCACTGACCAAGGTCCACAATATAATATATATATTTGAAATGCAAAATAGTTATATATATATTTGAAATGCAATTTATAAAAATCATACATCCTTAAAGTACCCGCTTAAGGTTTGTATCAAAATGTGTGTTATTTCAACTTAAAAAGTATATTGGAATTCTGCGCAAGAATTTTTATTTAGCCTTATTTAGAAAAAATTGTTAGCCAATTTGAAAAATCTCTAACATGTTGTCTGCCATGCATATACCATTGACACATTGTTTGTAAAGACTTTGGCGATCTGCGTACTCAAAAATTAATATGGAGTAAGTCAATCGAGATCCATGCAATACATATGCATTAATATCTATTCAGAAATTACTAGAAACAAAACAAAAACTGGCGTAAGTTATACGCAAATTTTCTCAAACAACGACCAGTGTATTGCTTTTGAACTAAGGAATATTAACATATCTTTACATACAGAAAATCGTGTACATTTTCTGCGCTTGCCGAGTTTTTTATTTTAAGCTATATTTTTAATCTAAAGCTTGGTTAATAAATAAGAAATAAATAGAATCAAAAGAAGAATAGAATCGAGGTCCATTATTGTTAAATATATTTATGTATGCATGTACATATGTACATATGTAAAACTGTATTTTCGATTTAAAAAAAAAAAAAAAATCGGATAAAGTTTTTCTTTCGCCATTCATACACCTCTAATTTTAGTATTTATTAAAAAAAAAAAAAACTCAATGAAATTCAAAAACTCTATCTTGCATTTAGTTTTACTCAATACCAATTTGAGCTGTCGCTGTGTATTAGGTTTATATTATCTATCATTGCAAAGAATCTAGTTAAATTTATGTCTAATTCGCACTTATTGTTGAAGTGTCAAGACCTAATCACACACTTAAGTTGCAGTTACATAATGCTCTATTCATAAATATGTTTGTAAATGCACCCATACATACATACATACATACATATGTATATAAAACAATATATTTAATATGTAATTGAAATTTGCGCTATCTTCAAACCCATGGTTTCAATTCTACGCATATCGTCAGGGTTTTCCCCACAACTTGGTTTTGCTGCAGTGAAGCGACAGAACAAGTGACGAGAAAAGATATATGCGGACACTTATATGTATATGTATCTATGCGCATACGTATCTATGCGCATGGTATGTATCTATGCAGATGCGTAGCTATGTATGCACATACGTATCTATGCACATACATGCATGTGTGCTTAGGTATGTATATTAGCATTTTAGTTGAAAGTACGTTTTGCTCGTCGCTCTCTTCAGCGCTCCACTGCAATCCTGTCCTTAATTTTATTCAGATACCTCAAACGCACTCACCCCATCACTTATTCGTTGCCGCCTTCTTCGTTGTTGTTGCTGTTGAAGTATTTCCTGCTGTTGTTCTTGTACCTACAGCTGCAGCAGCAGTTATTGATGTGTTCGCAAGCAAACTATAAGCTCCGCCAACTGCAGACTGTGTAACTTGTCCCGACGAAGGGGATGTGCCAGAGTTGGTCGTACTGGTAAAATGCGCAGGTGTAAATGGTGGTGGCACTGTATTCGGTGGAATACTTAGTTGAAATCCATTGTGGTATATAAGATAGTAGGTGGCTTGGGTGGGAGTGCTAGATGGTGAAGTCACAACGGTTGCACCAGTGACTGCTGCGGTTGCTGAAGAATTAGTGTTGGACGTTGATGCTACGATCACCTTGGAATCGTTCTGCAAATTGCTTCCAGCAACAGACCCGCTGTTATTTGTTGAATTCGTCTGCCACATACCGCCCGAAGTGCACAACAAAAATTTTAATAATTAATTTGCAAGGAATTCGTACAATAAAGCGGTGGAAAGATTGCGGGAGGCACCGATCTGGTGTTTTACGCTGGCAGCAATAGCAAAGCACTTCCATATCTACTAGCTAAGCAGACACTGCATAAGGGATGATCAATCGCCAAAGCCTGCGCGAAATGTAAATTCATGTTGAAACCACGGAAACCGCAGAATCTGTGAATAAAACAAACAGAAGATAATATTGTAGGATGAAAAAAAAAATTAAAAGTTTAATTACATACATACATACAGAACCACTTACACTTCGGGCATCTTCTCTTTATCCATACACAGGGCATTAATCCGTGCTGTGTGCTCAAGGCAAAGGGTTGCAAATCGATGCAGGCAAGCGTCTGAAACCTAAACTAAGTATATTAAATCAAACTCTATACTACAAATTACTATTCTAACAAATTCCACTATACGAACCGTTCTCCTCGTGATAGGTTATTTCTTGAATGACATTTCAGCCATTCAGGATATTGCCATTCATGAATTAGCAATGGCGCCATCTGTTGTATTCGAGACCAAATGCTTACGTTAAGCTTGCGTCATTGGGGATTTTTACTCAATCCGTCGAACTACGACAAGATGAAGCAAAAGGAAAAAAGTAATTTTCTGGTTGACGTTGGTAATTTCGACGCCATGTTATTTTCTTTTAAAAGTAAACAAAGAATATGAAGACGAGGCATAATTTTCTCAATTGCTATCACAAAGTATGGCTTTTATGCAAATTATAAATACTGCTCTACTCGACGGTCATCAACGCACAAATGGTTGCTTTTCGACCGGTCTGTTCTAATTGGTTCATGCCTCGCAATCTCTAGAAGAATTGTACTTTAATAAATTATCTTACCATTGTGTTAGATGATTTTTGATTGGAATACCAGTTTAAAAAATGATTGCGATGCGCAAAAATACGGTAATCGACATCAGGAATATTATGATACTCCGTATCACGTTTATCGATTATTACCACCGTTCTTGTTTTATACCGCGAAAACACGTTGTAAAAATGAAACAAACTATTACTCATGTCCTGCTTTACATAAGGTATTCGATGCGAATCAGAACAATCATTTTGCGTGAACCTTTGACGTAGCAACCACCTCAACGTTAGCGAGCGAATTTTTTTGGGGTGGCAGGACCGTCTTACGATATTAACGTATCACGAATGGGAGCAAACAAGCAAAATCGATAACACCTGTCCACAATGTATCGCTTCAATATTTGAGGTGCCCATACACTTTTTATACGCTTGTACGATATTATATGCAGTTCACACTATCAATTTACAGTGTGGAATCAACATTTATTTTCAAAGTATAAACTATATTTTGTTTTCGGTTTTAAACTCATTTAATGCTCGCCACCCAACTGTAACCTACACACATAAGGGCACAATATTTAGTACATAAGTACACAGTACTAGTATCGGATAACAGCAAGGGGAAAAAACATTAACCAATTTCAGACAATGACTAAATTCACTCCAATGAGGAAAAGGGCGGAGCAGCAATCACAGCGTTATCCACTCGCATGCCGTCTATGTGATGGAAATCACCCGATCAGGCTCTGTCCAATATACAGAGTAAAATCTCCCGAAGAAAGATTGCGGGAGGCATTGTTGGGACGTTTTTGCGGCAACTGCTTGTCAATGACACACCGCGTCGATACGTGCACGAGCGAAGAGAGAAGCCGTCGGTGCCATGACAAGCATCATACAACTCTGCACCTGGATGAGGAGCACCAAGCAGTCGACACAAGACCATGGAGCGTGCAAGTCGCAAGTGAGGATGAATCAGAGCACATTCTATCGGTCAATGCTTCAGACTCAGGAACAGAGACCAGGGCTCTCCCACCGGACGCCGAGGAAGGCGAAGTCATTGAAACTGCAGTAGCAACCCGCACTCTTCGCTCGACTTCACGAAGGGGATCGGAAACTAGGCCCTCCCGACCGCTCTTAGCACATGAACGGCGCCGTGGATCGGAAACTCGGCCTTTCCGACCACGCCAGCCTTCACGCCGTCGCCGGGGAGCGGAAACTAGGCCTTTCCGCCCGCGGGCCAGACAATTGGATTCGGCAAATCGACGCCGCCATCAAGGTAGACTGGAGACGAGGCCTCGCCAGCTGCCTGTTGCATTCAGAGCGGGTCAGGTCCAGCCTTCAACTCACGTATTAAGGCCCGTTACATCAATATGCCCTACTGCCGTGGTCAAGGTCGAATCGCAAGGACGGCTCCATTTGATACGCGCCTTGATTGATGCGAGCTCACCGACCTCGATAATCTCAGCCGATTTAGTACGCGAACTGCGCCTTGATTTTGGTCCGCAACAGGGTTGCCTACTGCGTTTGCGCGGCAAACATGGCCAAAATAAAAGGGTAGCAGTCCATGCAAGAGTGGTGCGAAATTATATTCGGATCAGCCCCACCAGTAGCGTCGATCCCTCGATAGCGGCACCGTACACGCACATTCGACTAGCGGACCCGAACTTCCACACCTCAACGCCGATTCGCTTGGTCTTGGGAGCCGATGTGTATCCCGAGATTATCCTGCCAGGGATACTCCCAAGCGCTTTTGGGCCATTCCTGGCCCAAAGCAGCATATTTGGGTGGATCCTATCGGGATCGTGTCGATCCTAAATATCGAATAAATCTTTTTTTTCGTTTTTGGTTTTTTATTTAGATAAATATATATACACTTTCTTGAAATGAATATGAATTGTTTAATAAATGAAGTGCAATGAAATGTCAAACCATGCCTTGTTCTCTTAACCTTATTTTTCGTATCATTTCTACAGCTGTAGGAGGCGAAGATGGAAGCACGGGTGACAACGAGGAAGTCCGACTGATCGGATGACAACCAGCTGACATTTTTACTACTTACATTCGAATTTGTAATTAGCTACTCAACGCGGTGTTATGGCTGAGTCGTAATAGATGTTGCTTATAGCAAGGGGG